AGAATTAGAATTAGAATAGAAGCGAAGCTGGAAGGAACTTTGGAGGTCTTATATAGTCCACACACACACACACACATATACACCCCTATAACTTTGGAGGTCACGGGGCATGTGTTGAAGACTTAGCTGCTGCGGGGCACATTCTGGCCCTGTAAATGTAATCGGTGATTCATAGAGGAAACCCTGATGTGCATGCAATCTGCAGTTTAAAGGAAGAGTGTCACGGACAGGCTTCATTTAAGGATCCCAGAGGAAGCAAGTTTCCATCTCAAGGTTTTTACAGGCTGAGTCACATGCCATGCATTGCCCTTCTCTCTCTTCTATCCCATTTACAGAGAGAGAAAGGTGGGGGGAGAAAGAGAGAGAGAGAAAGAGAAAAGAGAGAAAAACAGAAAGAAAAAAGATGGAGGGAGGAGAAGGAGGGAGGAAGAGAGAAAAAAGAAAAGAGAAAAAGAGAAAAGAAAGAGGAAGAAAAAGAGGGGAGGGAGGGAGGAAGAGAGAGAAATAAAGAAAAAAGAATGAAAAGAGAAAAAGAAAGAGACACAGGCAGGGAGGGAAGAAGAGAGAGAAATAAAGAGAAAAGAGAGGAAGGAAAGAAAGAAAGAGAAAGAAAAAAGAAGAGAGAGAGAGACACAGAGAGAGAGAAAGAGAGAAGTTCTTCTGCCTTATCTTCAGTGTTCCCCAGAGTTGCAAAGGAAGGAAAAATGACAACTTGAGGATGCTGTTCCATTCTGCAGCCTCTGAGCTCAGACCCGGCCTGGAGCAGGGAGTTGGGCCAGAGGACGTCTCAAGTCCCATCCAACTCTGGGAGGAGTTTGTAAGTCTCTGTTAAGTGGTGAGAAGCCAGCCAACAGAGGCCATGGGCTGGTAGGGGCTGGAAACCCTACCAGCCCATGGATTTACGTATGTCATAGGGAAGAGGTCTTACCAGGGTGCAGCAACCCATCAGGACGGGCACAGATTTCAGAGAGTAGTTAGGACTGCAGAAACAACAATGGCTACCAACCTGCCTTCCATCGAGGACCTGTATAGAGCACGAGTCAAAAAGAAGGCTGTGAAAATATCTACAGACCCTTCACATCCCGGACATAAACTGTTTCAACTCCTTCCCTCAAAATGACGCTATAGGGGACTGCACACCAGAACAACTAGACACAAAGAGTTTTTGCCCCCATGCCATCACTCTGCTAAACAAGTAATTCCCACAATGCAGTCTTATGCCCTGGCATGTCAAACCACCCAATAAGGCTGCATTGCTTATTATCCTTCTCGTCTTTCCTATTACCTGTTTCCTTAGCTTCTAGTGACTAGAACTTTGTTGCTTGCATCTCATGGTTTATGTTAATTGCTTTAGTTAGTATCCTATGACTATCATCAAATGTTGTATCTTATGACTTATGATGACTGCATTTTATGATCGCGATTGATCGCTTATTGCTTGTATGTACACCGAGAGCTTCTGCACTGGAGACAGATTCCTTGTGTGTCCAATCGCACTTGGCCAATAAAGAATGTTCTTTTCTCTGTTTTCCTCTTCTCTTTTTTTCCTCTTCTTTTTCTTTTGTTTTCTCTTCTGTTCTCTTCTCTCCTCTCCTCTCCTCTCCTCTCCTCGAGCTGTTCAACTGAAGATGGCTAACTGCGATGGATTTAAATCAATGAGTATGTTGGCAGAGACTCTGTGCCACAAGCCTCCAGCACTTTTAAGTTTCTAGACCCATTTTAAACATTTAGCAAGTCAAGGAGAACTTCCCATTAGAAATGGATGGATTTGTTTGTTCTGGTTGCTCATGGTGCTTTCCTCTCTTCTGTCTCTTCTTTTTATCCCTCTCTCATTTTTCATGAGATATTAAAAGGAAGTTGGCATTTTCGTGTATAATGAAGAGATTTGCCAACCATTTACCTTTTCTGCTTTTTATTTCATTTTATTGAGCTTTCCTCCCACACACTTTACGTGCATTTTTTTTTTTTTTTGAAAATGTTTCTATGATTGAATCATCCCCTTTTGTGACCCATGAATACCCCAGAGACGTGTTTGATTCCAATTTGTGCATTGATCGGGACTTCCACCGAAGTATCAAAATGCGAGTGAGCAACACATTACTGAGTGGCAACCAGCCGTAAATGCAAAATGCCCAAATTATACTTTGTGCAACATTCATAATTTGGAGGCTGGGTCATAAATAACATTTTGGGATCTGTTATCACTTCAAACAGTTGCTAAGCAAGGACTGCCTGTATGGCAATTTTGCTGATTTTATGTTGTTGCTTTTTAAACTTGGACTTTGACTGCAATAATAGCAAAATGGGAACACTTGTAGCAGAGGTTAAGCTTCCATTTTGTTTTCGTCTCTGAAGAAAACCTCAGGGGAAGAGAAAGAGAGAGAGAAAGAAAGAAAGGAAGGAAAGAAAAAGATTAGATAGGTGCTAGATAAGTAGGTAGGTAGGTAGATGATATAGAGGATGGATGGATATAGATGGATGGTTAGATAGATAGATAGATAGATAGATAGATAGATAGATAGATAGATAGATATGAGTGTGTGTGTGTGTGTGTAAAACTGAAACTGAAATGGCTGTGAAAGTCTGACACACAGACGAACACAATACAGAAGCCTGATGATGGCAGATGAGATTCTGCCGAAATGTTGCTACAACTTTAAAAACACAACTATAATGACTTGGGAAAATACCTGAACAAAGCTGAATACCATACATGTAAGTACCCGCGAAAACTTAAGAAAACATACACACACACACATGTATGTATGTATGTATGTATGTATATATATAAATGGTCAAAAATAATAGAATAGCAGACATTAGTTTGCCATGGCACTGTATGGTAGCTCTGGCCCTGTGTTTCGTGTGGGTAAATGTCAAATTTCTCTGTTTTGTTTCCAGTTATTGTGATCTGTGAATGGCTTAGCAGTGTAGCTGCAAAATAGGTGGAGGATCCCGAGTTTCTAAACCTGAATAAAAGCCAGCTGACTTCAGAAAGATATGTAATATTGATTTAAGAGGACCTTTGATCAGTTCCTGCGCTTGACTGCGTTAACAAGTCAACACACAGTAGCAATTTTTGGAAGATCCTCTTCTTAGGGGAAAAACTTCATTGTTAACAACAGAAATTTTGGGCTCAGTTGTGGTTGTAAGTCAAGAACTACCTGTATATAACTTTATTTTCATTGATTTTATTCCCCAAACAAACTAGGCTAGACAGAGATGGGTATTGAATATTGTATTTTAGCCACTATGGAGCACAAGTCAATTTTAATCTTAGATAGAATTAATCGTCTTTAATTAAAGCATGTCATAAAAGCATAGGTGGTTTCATGTGTTTTGTTGTCATTGTTTTGTGACTTTGAATCAGTGTTAACAAATCCCTCGATGGAAAGATTTCTTGGAAGTGGTTTGCCATTGCCTGATCCCGAGGGATAAGGGAGAAGGACTGGCCCAAAGTCACCCAGATGAGGGATGGTGATTGTTTTCACGCCTAAGGCAAGAATAGAACTCAGGCCTTCCAGTTTCTTGCCTGCTGCCTTAAAGATCTTACACCAGAGATGTCCAACCGTGGCAACTTCTGGGAGACATTGTCCACAGGTCTTAAAGCTGACAAGGTTGGACACCCAAGCTCTACTACACCAAATCATCTTTCAATTTCCTGGCTATGGTTCCTTTTTCTTGAGTTGGTTGGCTTTCAAAGACCTCTGCTGTCTCTTCTACCATGTAGCCTGAGAAGATATTCCTGCATTCCAGGTACAAGACTAGGCTGATCTTGCCCTCTAATTTATAAATTGGTTGTCCTCTTCAGCCCATAAAACTTGATGCCTGAGCTCAATGCTCGTGTGGCTCAATATGGCTTTGAAGACACCGTCCCCTGTCTGAGAAATCATGGTGCATCATGATCAGGAGAACCTTGCTATCTTCCTCACATGATCTCTTGCAATTCCCGGTGGCCCCACTGTCTATGATTATCGTCCCATTCAGCTCCATTTCGTTGAATGTTAGTAGATCTTTCTCAACCTTGGCATTTATGTGGTTTCCATTTATCAACTTTCTATGTAGATCTTCTGCCTTCTTATTACTCATGGTTCCTGCTCAAGGACTTCACAGGAAGATACCGCTGGCCTCGGAAAGCTTCCACTCATTCTTTAATTCATACCCAGAGAAGGTTGCTATCAGTAGTTTTTAAAGATGTCTTGAGGCTATGTGTCTCTGTGCATTGGTTGCAAAAGAATTGACCACTGCTGTGGAAAAATGTTACCCTCAGAACATGAGCTAATACAGGGAGAATTCTAACAAGGGGAGTCTGGATCTTTAACAGTTCTTTTGTCAACACATTCAACGCTATTTTCTTTTTTGAGAACCCCAGTTATAGAAGTTATCCTAACAAAACTTTTTGTCATTCCAAAATTCTTCACATTTCAAAGTCCTTTTGAATTGGTAATGAAGAATTTGGTGACTATTTTTTCCCCTTTCCAGATTTTATTTAGCAATAAAAAAAAAGCGCTAGCTTAGATGCTTCTTGGGAAAGGGAAAATGGCTCATGGAATGGGTTTTGGCAGACCAGTTATAGTTTTTTTTTTCCTTCAAAATATGTTTCCCTAAGAAGGAGCTGGTCAATGAGTAAAGTCCAAAATATGTCAGCATTACCATTTTTCCCTATTCTAGCCTAGCCGTAAATTTACGCAATTCATTACATCTAAATTATAGGGGGAGGCAATAGGGGACGTGCATTAGCGCACCAGCGTGCCTACCATCCCTGTCCTATTGTCTCTTTTATTTTTCTTATATGTATCCATATATTCATAACTATATTTTTACTTATACCTATCATCTTGTAAACAATTGACAAACCAAATAAAATTAAATAAATAAAAATAAATAAATATTTTTTTAGGATATTAAGGCATTGCTTTTATGTGCTTTCTAGTTGTCTGGTTGCTTTGTAGTTCTAACCAAGTATTTTTTTTTTCCCCTCCTGATTTAATATTAGGCTTTTCGTGTATTTTGCTGACTCATATCCTGGACTCCCAAGAAGCGCAAAGGAGAAGGAGAAAGGTTGGATGAAAATATCGTGCTAACTCTCTGGTATTGCTGAGATACTAACTTTTCTTTTTTGGGGAAGTGCCTCCTCCATGGAGGAGCTCAGACCTACTCCAGGGCCAGTAAGAACGTCAGTCTTTCCAGAGGGTTTCTCCTTTATTTTTTCATGCAAGTTGATCGATGAACTTAAAGGTGCCCCGTTGGAAAACCAAGGGCAGGTGACTTTCTTGTAACAACAAGCTTTCCTATTGGTGCAAACAACCCTTATTTAAACGAGAGGCACGTCAGCCTATTGGATGGCAGTTGCTGGCAGGAATGGAAGTCAGCCTCATTTGGGGATTTAAGCCCAATCTGGAGATGTACAAGAGGACTGTTGAAGGTTTCTTCTTCCATGTGTGGCTGTGACAAATTGAGCGCCCACTTGATTTGCCTCCAAAATGATGGCTCCTTTCAGATAGCAAGGAATGACCTTCACAGATCAGCTTTGTTTGTTGATTCGGAGTAGGAACACAGTGCTCTAAGGATGCCCAGGAGAGGATTAATGTTTCAAGCCAGAACGCGATGGCTTTTTGTCGGGCTGGCTTTGCTGTTGAGTCTGTTGCTGATCATGTATCTCCTGGAGTGCGCCCCGCCGACCGAAAGCAACCGATCACTTCCTGGCCTCAGAGGAGGGGATCACTTCGGTAAGGAGCATTACCAAGCCCTCCTCCAAGAGCAGGAGGAGCACTACCAAAACAGGGCTGCCAGCCTCAAGCGTCAAATTGCCCAGCTGAAGCTGGAACTTCAAGAGATGAGTGAGAAATTGAAGCTGTTGCAGGATAAGAAAAACCCCAAAGTCCAAAGCGTGGGCTCTCCGGCTGTCAAGGAGCAAACCTCCAACGACCTGTTAGAGTACCTGCATTCTCAGATTGACAAAGCGGAAGTGAGTGCCGGTGCCAAGCTGCCCAGCGAGTACGCCGCCATTCCTTTTGAGAGCTTTACTTCCATGAAGGTCTACCAGTTGGAGATGGGACTCACCCGCCACCCGGAGGAGAAGCCTGTCCGAAAAGATAAGCGAGATGAGCTGGTGGAAGTGATTGAGGCCGGCCTAGAGGTGATCAACAATCCAGACGAAGAAGGTCAAGAGGAAGAAGACGGAATCGGGGAGCGGCAGCTTTACAGTGAAAGCGATTTTGTAGAAGGTATGTTTCCACCTAGCTGTTCTGACCCAGCTCCTCAAACACAACAAACCCTCTGTAGTTGAAGCAATCATTCCTTTATTAAGAGCGCCAACAGCCCTGGCAAAAGTGTCTCTTTTCCAGGCTGGGAGATAGATAGATGTTGGCCACACCTATTCATCTCTGCCCCCTGCCTTTTATCGCCAGAGCTTAGCAGCAGTAGCACTTCCTTCCCAAGACCAGCCTATAGATCTCCACTGCTCTCCTCTCCTCTGCCTTCTGTGCATCTGCACATCAGTCACTGGACCCAGCTGTTCCTCCTCTTTCTCATCAGCCGCCTCCCAACCTGGGGGCTGTTGGCTCTCCATCTGAGGGCTGATGAATGGCCCAGGTTCCACCTCTGTATCTCTTTCTGAAAGCTCCATATTCTGACAGTTTCATACTTCTTTGGGGAGGGGCAAATCTCATCATGAACAGCATCGATGATGTGACCTAGTTGGGTAAAGAAGCGTCTGCAAGAAAACCAACCAAGCTCATTTCAAACCTTTATTGTCAGTGCACAACATGTGTACAATGAGTGAGATTGGCTGAGCCTCCCTTAGTACGCTCCCCCCTACACAAATACACCTCAATAACTCACAGTGAAAGAAAGGAAATCCCTAGCCCAGTAATCATACTAACAAACACACAATCCTCTCTACATATATGTGCATGACATTACGTTATATTGCACGAATGTGAACATGTTACACATTGCGCCAGCCCTGCAAGTCTATCATACTGCGTAATTGTGATGCTATATTGCATTCAGGGGTCTGAAATCCCAAGGATAATTCAAGCTCAGAGAGCACTGAGGACTCCAAATTTCAACCCTGAGCTACAAAGATTCTCTTCCATCTTGTTGTTGTTGTTGACCATCTATTTTTTTTTCTAAACTAGAAAACTATGCCGTCCTAGTTTGTGACTTACCTGCCATGCATGATTGTCCACCGTAGCTCTACTTCAGATCTGAAGGCCAAAAGAAAGATCAAATATTCAGTAGGTCACAACACGTGGTTCATGGGTTATGCTTTACAGTTTCTGCCAGCAAGTCCATTAACTGTCTATTTATTTAATGACACAACTTGCTCAATGTTTGCTATCTGTTTTAGGCGTCTTAAGGTAGGGGTACTTTGAGCTTCAGGTCTTAAATATCTCTTACTGAGTCTACTTAATGATCCACACAGTTTGCTTTGGCAAAACACACTGGATCTGCTGCTTTCTCTTCCTCCAGTTCATTAGCTGGGTCCCAGACAGTGACTCATGTTAATAGTGAATTTGAATGCTTTTAATGTTTTTATCTTGCCTGAGACCCGTGAATAAATTGGATTTTCTTCGCTCGCTCTGGCGTTTTGAAGCTAGGATAGAATAAGCCTTGAAAGAGAAGGCAAACTATTCAAACTATAGAGGAGAGAGATATGAAATAGCCTAACCGGTTGATTTTTCTGATTTCTAAGAAGTTTATAGTGGTGATTTTCTTTTTCTAAAAGACAAATCAGAATCAGAATAGAGCTGGAAGGGAGCTTAGAGATCTTCTAGTCCAGCCCCCTACTCAAGCAGGAGACCCTACACCATCTCAGACAAGTGACTGTCCAGTCTCTTCTTAAAAACCTCCAGTGGTGAAACAACCACAACTTCTGGTAGCAAGCTCTTCCACTGTTTAATTGTCTTCACTGCTGGGAAATTCCTCCTTAATTCCAGGTTACTTCTCTCCTTGGTTAGTTTCCATCCATTGTTTCTTGTCCTGCCTTCAGGAGCTTTGGAGAATAGCTGGACCCCTCCCTCTTCTTTGTGGCAGCCCCTCAGATACTGGAAGACTGCTATCATGTCACCCCTAATTCTTCTTTTCTCTAGACTAGTCAAACCAAAATACTCCAACTGTTCTTCATATGTTTTATTCTCCAGGCCTTTAATCATCTTAGTTGCTCTTTTTTGTACTTTTTCCAAAGTCTTTTTTTTCCCCCATGAACCAAAGAAGCTTCTTGGATGAGAAGTGAAACGTTTTCAAAGACAAAAACAAAACAAAACCCAAGAAAGTCCAGTTGCCTAGATCTTCAGACAGCAGAACTGAGAAATTCTCTTCTGGGTCCCACTTGGATTCCAAAACTTGCCCATAAAACATTATTTTATCGGCTCACTTAAAAATGTTTATGGTGGAGATTGCATTTGGGACATTTCCAAGACGTGAGCTCAGTTCCTCCACATCTCCATAGTAATAAATATCTGCAGTTATTTAAAATGCTGGCTGATATTCCACTCTGTTCTGAATACCACTCCTCTGAAATTACAACATTTTCATGCACGAGTTGCATTCTTGAATATCCATGGCTTACACGTCTGTTGTGTTCTTGAGTTTAGCTTCCTGGTGTAATTTCCTATGGTCAAAAGCTTTAAACTGAAAGCTAGCCAAAGGCAGATGTTTCCAAACTCTGTAGTTACAGGTATTGGGGAATCATTCCGCAATCCTTACAGGGAACACAGTTCAGGCAGTAAATGTTTAGAGCTTACCACTTCCTTTTGCAAACCTCAAGCTTCCTTACTTTGTCAGCTTTCGGTGCAGCCAAGAAATGAGCACCGCGTAAAAGTGTTTTGCTCAGTTTGTTTGAGATCATTTGTGGGTCAACTGGCATTTGTGTCTTCTCCTTTTTAGATTTCAATCAGATGGGATGTTTGGCGTTTTGTAATTTAGTTGAAGCACCATGGACTTGTTCCAGGCAAATGGAAAATTCCCCCTTCCTACTCACAGTTAGCTACTAGGTTAGATGTTCCCCACAAGTAACTATTGTTGACCAAACTGCTGTGTATTTTAATGCCAATTCCAACTATTGAAACTTTAGGAACAGTGTAAAGGTAAAGGTTCCCCTTGCACATCCCTGCTGATCGTTTCTGGCCCCAGGGGGCGGTGCTCATCTCTGTTACAAAGCTGAAGAGCTAGCGCTGTCCGAAGATGTCTCCGTGGTCATGTGGCTGGTAGGACTAAACGCCTTCGAATGCGCACAGAGGAACACTGTTACCTTCCCACCAAAGTACTCCCTATTTTTCTACTTGCATTTTTTTCACGTGCTTTCAAACTACTAGGTTGGCAGAAGCTGGGACAAGGAATGGGAGCTCCCTCCGTTACGTGGCGCTAGGGATTCGAACTGCCAACCTTTCTGATCAACAAGCTCAGCATCTTAGCCACTGAACCACCGCATCCCTACGCATTTACAGTGTAAAAGGGACGCATTGAACAGTGTACATCATGCTAAAAAAAAGACCAATAATAGCCCCAAGAAAAGATTGGCTTCAGATTTTCAAACCTTCCAAGGTTTTGAGTTGGATGCTCTGAAATCGTTGCTTAAACGATTCTCCGGAGCTTTACTGTAACCGCATAATCAGAGGAGATCAAATCCCGCCTTCCCAGCGGAGGTTGAACTTTAAATTCCATCTGCTTGGACTGCAGGAATTGTCTGGGTGGGAAGCAGGACTGGGGATAAGAGAGCCCAGGTGTCATTCAGAAGAATGCAGCCAGGTGCAAGACCGGAGAAAGTTTGGTCTTAGTGGAGTAGGATTCCAATTTCATTGATCTATCTGTATCCTGCCTATGTCATTTTTGCAAATCACTCAAGGCAGCCAATGTGTCCAACATACCTCCCTCCTCCAATGTGTCCAACATACCTCCCTCCTCTTATTTACCCCACAACAACAACCTGTGGGGTGGTTTGGGCTGAGAGAGGGGGACTGGCCAAAGTCACCAGCTGGCTTTCATGGCTAAGGTGGGACTAGAACTCACCATCTCCTGGTTTCTAGCCTGGTGCTTTAACTACTTCTTTCTTTCTTTCTTTCTTTCTTTCTTTCTTTCTTTCTTTCTTTCTTTCTTTCTTTCTTTCTTTCTTTCTTTCTTTCTTTCTTTCTTCCTTCCTTCCTTCCTTCCTTCCTTCCTTCCTTCCTTCCTTCCTTCCTTTCTCTCTCTCTCTCTCCTTCTGTCCCTCCCTCCTTCTCTCTTTATTTCTTTTTCTTCCTCCCTCTCTCTCTCCCTCCCTCTCTCCCTCCATCTTTCTTTCTCTCTTCCTCCCTTCCTCTTCCTCTTTCTCTTTCTTTATTTCTCTTCCTCCCTCTGTCTCTGTCTGTCTCTCTCTTCCTTCCTTCTTTCCTCTATTTCTTTCTCTTCCTCCCTCCCTCCCTCTGTCTGTCTTTCTTTCTCTCTTCTCTCTCTTTCCCTCTCTCCCTCCCTGCCTTCCTCCCTGCCTTCCTTTCTCCCTCTCTCCTCTCTCTTTCTCCCTCTCCCCCTCCCTTGCTTCCTTCCTTTCTCCCTCCTTCTCTCTCTCTCCTGCTCTCTGTCAATAACAAAAAAACTAATGCAGATCATCCATTCACCCAGCCCTTGCCCCAGTTCATAAATAGATGGTTGGAGGAAAAAGATATTTTGAGAAACATACTAGATTTGCCAAAGCACTAAAGGCATTAGGGTGCCTCATTCCTCATAATAAATTAAATGATGTTAGGACTCTGGTGAACTTGGCCATGTCCCTAAAGGTCAGAAAATCCTAATTCTTGGGAGAAAGAGTGATTCTCTTCTTAAATTTGGGTGCTTTTTTAAAGCTGTTTTATCCTATATCCTAACTAATGCTTTTGAGGGCTTACTGAACAGAGTAACCCAAAAAGGGAAAAAAGTGTTTGTTAAAACCTGGAGGTTACAAAGAAGGAACAGAAGAAGAATTTGATAAGCGGTGGAAGGACACAACATGCCTCAGTACTGTAGCCAAAATAGACTTAATTTTCGGCTTACTCTACTTGCGAGATAACAAACTTCATAATTCTGATTTAGGGTGCCTAGTTGGCAGGAAATTTTACATGCCAGGATTCGTATCAGATGTACCCTGCAATGGGAATTATGCAGCCATAATTGTGCAGCCATAATCTTTGTGTGTGTGTGTGTGTGTGTGTGTGTGTGTGTGTGTGTGTGTGCGCCTGTTATTAAACAATAAAACATCTGGAACAAAATC